GACTCAAGGTGGTTTACAAACTCCAGCAAAATTCAATGGCACATGGACATAATAAAATGTGATCCATCAAATTATAAAACAGTTAAACATATGAACTGTTAAAACACATAAACAATGAAATAGATTAAAACCAGCAAAAAATATAAAGTGCCAAGTCTTGATCTCATACTTATACATAGTCATTTTCCAAAATCCAAAGTCATTATTCAGGCTGTTGAAGTCTAATTCCATAATATCTTATTCACCAAATGCCTGCGTGTAAAGCCAGGTTTTAAGCTTTTTTTCCTAAAAACCAAGAGGGATGGGGCCTGCCTGTCACTAGGGAGGGATTTCCACAGCCGAGGGGCCACCACTGAGAAGGCCCTGTGTCTCATCCCTACCAGTCACACTTGAGAAGAGGGTGGGACTGAGAGCAGGACCTCCCCATTCTTAAAGCTCTTCTTGGCTCATAACCATTGACTTCTTTACAGGTCATATCAAAATCCATAGTTTTGGCCCCAAAACCTTACCTTGATTTAGACACGATGTCAACATATACAATAGTATATATAGTGGCAGAGTTTGTTGTGAGAACCAGTTTTGTTTCTTTGATGTTTCAGCTGTTGATGTGATTGGTTTTTCAAAGCACAAAATCAGAGTGTTACATGCCATGTTATGAAATGACTTGAAAGCACACAACAACAATCCTATCTCATCAACCAAAAGCAGGCCCACATGTCCCATTGAAATACTAATAAGTTTATATTTGTTAGAAATGTTCTTCATTTTAATTATTATATTATTTGAAGTGTTTTTTACACTACAAATATTATATATGCAGTGTGCATAGGAATTCATTCATGGTTTTTTTCAATTTATAATCTGGCCCTCCAACAGTTTGAGGGACTGTGAACTTGCCCTCTGTTTAAAAAGTTTGAGGACCCCTGTGCTAGTATTTAGTACTAAATACTAAATATGCAGCATTCAGGAGGTGGTGATCAGAATACTGAGAGGGCAATCATTTTCTTCATGGTGTTGCCACTATGAGAGGCCAGTTACAAATATAAAAAGTTGCCTATAAAAAGTGTGAAAATTATAAAGATGCAATTGCCTGTTCTCTGATTAGTGAATTTGCTCCTGACGCTCACAAACCCAAAGGGTTCAGAAATCCTCATTCCAACAGGAATTTCAATGTCAACCTTTTGAAATTTGACGTCATTAAAATATAAAATAATTTTGAATGCACACATAAATTAAAGTTAGAAGTTTTTAAACAGTTCATTTGATTTTGTAGTAGTTCTTTTTTTTAAAAAAATCCTTAGAATTATCTTCTAAAGAATTCTGGCAGCAGAATGGTTAACGTGAATCTATCACCAGTCTTGTTCAAAGTGTTATACTGAGTGATCAATTGGTCAGTTTCCTGATTTGCAACTACTGAATTTTTTAAGTATAACATTTCCCAGAAGTCTCTGATCCTCTTTCTTTGTCCTTGAAGATAAATGGGGATTTCAGTCTAATCAAAAGAAATATATCATTTGGTCTTTCTGCTGATCAGGAATCATGTCCTCTGCTTTTCAAGCTAGTTGTCAGCTAATATTCTAGTGCAACAGCTAATGTTCCTCAAGGGGCATTTTGCAATATGCGCTGAAGAAAAGAATGAACTGAAGAGTGGAGAGAAATCTGGATTGATAGACTCTTTTTCTGAAATGCTTTAAACTCTGTATATTTAATTGATGAGCATTTCAGACAAAACCTTTTGTGATCCTGGATGCACTAATGATGTCAGCATTGATATCACCTTCTATTTTTATGCATGTCCAAATAATATAATGTCTTTGTAAAATGAGGCTTAATTGCAATACTTTTGGGAAAAACTGATATTGAGTGTAACACTTTCACATACATTATACATATTATGTGGATGTGTCAGATTTGCATTATGCTGTATGTAGTCCCCTTTTTAAAGTAGTGGAGCTGATCTGACTCTGATGCAATATCACTTATATTTAAAAATGTATGAAAGGTACTTTGGCATTTCCAAGTATTTCCTGGTAGCTGCTTAACTTCCAGCTATTTTTATATACAGTGTATTGGTTAAATGACAGTCCACCCAGTTTCTCTCACACATATATGCACACATATTACTATACACATAACATAATACATATTTCAATACTAATTAACCACTGGAAACATTTGAAATATCTGTATCACCCTGTCCATTCTTTCAAAATTTATGGCAAGGGACATGATTTGCATTATATCCTGCTCCCACAACTTTTAATAACATGCTTTATACCTGAGGTTTTATTACCACTCGATACTGCATATGAAGAAATTATTTTATATCCATGAAAACTCCTGTTAAAATAAAAGCTGTTTAGTCTAAAAGGTGCTTCCAAGCTACTTCTTTTCTCCTTTTCCCCCACCTATTTCCTTCTTTTTTTTAAGGTTGCAAGAGTCTAACATGGCTACTTCTTTGAAAACTATCTCAACAGGAAGCACCAGATTTAACTGGAGGGAATAAAACTCTATCAGTCTCTTTGAGAGATATATTCAGGTAAACACAGACCCTATTTGTCTGAATAAATGCAACCAATAAGACACTATTCCTAAGGGACTACAGATGAAAAATCCACTACGGGCAACATATCAGTGATTTGTGCCATATCCTCTCCAGGAAACCATATACCATTTTACCAACAACTATAGCAAAGAAGAGAAAACAAAAAAAGAAATCTCTGATCTAGAATTAGACTTATAGAACCATCAGCCTTATACACATCAGAATTTCCCCAGGGAAGAAAAAAAATGAAACTCTCTGTCTCACAATAGTCTCCAAAGGCTCACAGTAGAAACCCTGGGCAATAATATTGTACATCTTCCAGCCACACATCAAGAACTTAAGAACTTCATCCCACACAATAAGTAAAGCATTGGGAATTGTTGTTTTACTTCACAACACCCTGTTTGGATATTAAACAAAATGCTTTTCCTACCTCATCACATGTTTTCCTTCATTTGGCTTTCTTTTTAATTTATGTGTTTGCTTTCCCACCACATGAGAGACATTCTTCTCTCATGGTCTCCTCCCCGTTTTCTTTTACTTGAAGAAATCTTCTGTTTGTTCTTGTGGAAGTACTTTTTAATGTGATATCACTAAATGTGTTATTTTCTATTATATATTATTCTATATTACAATTTATAACTGGTATCTCTAAATTCAAAAGGTAATTATATTGAATTTAGATTGTTTAAGAAGATAAATTACCATTCCTTCCTCCTCTGTTATAACGATTATTGTGCAAGAAAGGATTATATACTGCCCATCTTGGCTCCTCCCTCCAGAATGACATCATTATTATCTTTACAAGTGGACAATGAGGAATTCCCATCACACATTTAATTTCGCGATTTGCCAATTGACGTAGGAAGCGTAGTGGAGGAAAACCACACTTTAGAAATGGTGAAATACCTGGGACTCATGTTATGGGCTTGCGTCACATGATGGGCTCTGTCGGTAGCCATTTCTTTTTTTAAATGTATTTATATGTTTATAAAAATAGGCATACAATATAAATGTCATATTTTTATGTTGTTGGTAATTCACTAACATTTCTCATACAGTATCTTTATTTAAGGTAGCCATTTCTTAAATGTGTAGAAATGTTGATGTTATTGCATGTGACAATGTCCTAAGTCAGACAGAGGAATCTGTCATTTCACAAGATCTATCATTGTCCTGCTCAAGATCTACATATATGACTCAGTTTGCTGGTGATCAGGAGGCTTTCTTCCATCACCTACAATTCAATGATTTTTTTTCAGGAGAATCACAACAGTTCAGAAACATCACTTAGACACGAAACATTCAGGAAAACAAGAGAAAGCAAGTCCTTAATGCTCATTAGTGTTCTGTGATGTGTGTAATCCCCATGTGAGGCTCAAACTGGTTCCAGGATTTCTTATGTGCTCATCTGAACAGAAAAACCACATTATACAATACTGGTTTGAATCTGCATTAAATGGTCAGTTTAGATGACCATTAACTGTTTTGAGTCTCCTAGCCATTTTGAGTCTCCTTTGTGGAGATAAAGAGCAGGATATAAATAAACAAAATAAATAAATAAGCTAAATGGGATCTATGAGATAGCTTGAACTACATTTTACAAAAAACAGCCTAAAGATCTCACTGACAAATACTAAAAGGACTACAGAAAATATACATGGAATTCTACACCAATGAACAGAACCAAGATCAAATTGACACACTCCCAGGAGCTGAAACTGGGCATTTTCTGTCTATTAAAACACAAACAAGGGAATGTAGGCAGACATACTTTTTAAAGCAACTCTCACCGTATTGTCCTCAAGATATCATTCTCCTTTTCATCCAGGTATAACACAAAGTAACATAGACTTTAGGGTCGGCATGTGAACAAAGTATAAGAAATCATTAAAAATACATTTCTCATCCAAGAAGATGACGTTAAATTTGTGAATTATTCCACATGGTAATTTAAGAACTGAGCTTTATATAATACAATAATACAATTCTTTATTGATTAGTCAATTTTGACCATATCAAAACATACAAAACATACACATACAGTAAAACCATATATGAATACGAGGCATCATGGCCTACTGGCCTGTCAACCCACTCCTAAATAACTGAGCAACTACGAGATAAAAAGGTTAAAAGATTAAAATTGTTTAATTCCTTAAAATAGGGTTAGAGTGGGGGGCATGGGTAGGTAAAACTAGTGGCGTGTCCATATTAAGTTTTTAAGTTTGAGTTTTGTTGATGGCAGCAAGGTCGCCTCTCTCTGCTTCCATCTTCTCACGGATGGCCAGCGCTTTTTGGATAAAAAGGGTCATGTTGAGACTCAGCGTTTGTCTCATGCACCTACTACTAGTAGTAGAAGGAAACGTGGTTTAGAGGATGAAGAAGCTCAGCAACAGCTGAAACGGATTAGAGACTTGTTCTTAGAGACTACGGATGAGGAGGATTTTGAGGGTTTTACTCGCGAGGAAATGGAGCTGGAAGATTACAGAGGTGTAAAGAGAGTAGCCAGCAGCTCGAATAGCGATGTGGGATCTGTTGCTAAACGCCTTAGAGATATAGCTGATTGTGGGCAGTTTGACAGCGAAGAGGAAGAGCTGGACTGGACTAAAGTTCAGGAAGTAATGGATGTGATTACTGCTCCCACCTCTAGTGATGAATTCCAGGGTTTTGATGATACTTGGGTTGCAGATAATACTTTGCAGGATGGAGCCCGAAGTACTGACTGGCAACAATGGCGCAGCCGGGATTCACCTGTGGAATTAGACGCAGCTGAAAGTGACTCCAGCGACTCTGACGAGATTTAAGGAGCAGTTTGGGGACAAACTGATCGCAGAGTTCAAAGTGTCGTGTTACCGTGTGCCTTGTGTTTAACTCCTGCCGTGAGCTCTTGTTTGCAGCTTCGTGTTTCCTGATCGTGTGAACAACCCTGCCGGAACCAGACTCGTGAGTCTTCCTTGCCTTGACCCTCGGACTGCCTGACTACGCCTCTGCTAATCCCTGGAACCTTCGTTGGACCACTCTTCATGTGGATTGCTGTTTGCTGTTTTGTTTGCCTTTGAAACGGACTGAGTTTTACTGCTGAATCCAAGCTGCCTGCTTCTGTTTAGACTTGCTTTCCTTTTGCCAGCAAAGACTGACTGAGACCAGTTTGTTTACATTCCTGCTGACCGCAAGCCTTTTGTGTTTACAACTCTGACTTTAAGAGCCTCCTTTTGTTTTGTTAATAGACATTAAAGACCTTCATTTAACTCTTACAGTGCCGTTTGCTTTGCTGGTCTGCCTGGGTCTTGACAGCCATAGGGGGAGCTGTCACTTCACCGTCCACTTGTGATGCCGGGTCCTTTGATGGAGTACTTCCTCATTCTTCTGCATGCTGCTGGAAGTTTTTATGGCATCATAAATTAGTTAAATTAGCCCCCCGCATAAAGCGGTACCTAAATTTCCTACTTGACAGATGGAACTGTCTTTCGGGCTGTATAGGTCAACAGCAAGCTAGACTATTAATCATCAGTAGCTTACTCCGACCTGGGCTGGCTTTGAACACATTACCTCTCAGTCAGTAGTGATTTAATACAGCTGGCTATTAACTAGCTGCACCACAGCCCGGCATAATAGGACCTTAGCAAAAATGTCTTGATGCTCATCAGACGTTATCAATGCACACCAGCACTCCCTAGCCAGTGTCTCATTGTTCACCTGTCCCATTGTCCAATGAGCACTATGTAGTAACATAATAGTAATAGGAAATTGGAAAACAACTAAATTCTGTTTCCCGCATAAATTCCCAAGTGAATTCCAGTCGTTAAATGGTGATGGTCTCTGAAGCCTATTTGAAAGCTTAATGGATGCTTTTGAATGCTTTCAGGAAAGCCTATTCATCCTTTCAAGGGAGCAAGAAAATTGTGGTTTGGGATTATGGAGAGCTTGGGGGCCACAAAAGGAGGCTTTAGGGCTATACAAACCCTGTGCTCAGCTCTCCTTTATGGAACTACATGCACTAATACCAGCTACATAAACCCCATTGAATCAATTGGGTTAACATAACGTGTCAGATCATTTGGCAATTAACTGTAATTAATTAATGGGTCTAGTCTAGTTGAAGCCAGTAATTGCATTTAAATCAAGGACTTGACTAATTATCTCTTTTCATAACAAATAATGATCACAAAAACAGGCTTTATTGGCATACACGAACAAAATCACAACACAGGTATGTATAACAAAAGGAAGTCACAAATAAAAAATGAAAAACATGGTACCCTTCCAGACAGGCTCTATATCCAAGGATCTGATCCCAGGTTTTCTGTTTATCCCAGATTATCTGGCAGTGGGGACTCATATAACCCAGGTTAAAGGAGAAAACCTAGGATCAGATCCTGGGATAGAGGGCCTGTCTGGAAGGGCCCATGATTAAAAATTTGTAATCTCAAGAATAAAACTTGCAACAGTTTCGCAAAAGAACGCACCAGAATTGTTCATGGGATAAGGGATTTTATAACACCATTACCACTGAAAACCCTTTTAAAATTTGAATTCCTGAATTTCATCTTTATCTTATATTTGAAGCATACTAACAAAGAATGGTCAAGTGTTTCGACAGAATGTTCCATATTTTTGTATCTGCCATCCAAAAGAGTTGATAGGAACACATTATATCTTACAACAGCAAAAGCTCTCCTTTGGGTGGGATTAATCAAAATGTGAAGATCAGCTGCCATAACTCCACGCTCACATGGAGTTAGTAATATGCTAGAGGAACAGGTTGTCTTTGCTACAAGAATCAAATTGTGGAAGTCAAGATCCAAAAGTCTGTTCGTGACTAGCCTGCAGGCTTCCACATTCGTAAGCATTAAAATTGATTCCAAAGACAAGCCAATTGCTTCAGTCTTCCTGAGAACCAAAGTATACCACTCTGAAATAAAATGATTTGATAACAGAGAGGGAATATAGCTATTGAGATATGCTTGAAAATGTACATGCAACCAAAGTTTCAAAAATGGTTTGGGCCATCTCAATGCACAGCACATATCTAGGGAGCCCCATTAGTTTCCAGAGAAACCTAGAATCTATATATATAAATTTGTTAGGGGCATCCTGTTGTGGTTCAGCAACAGCATGATGGGACTGAGAGTGCAAGTGGGCATGATGGGAATGGGAATACAGAT